ATCAACTGCCACTGCCCCTGCCACTGCCATGAGTAACATATGTTCAGAACTTGTCACTAAAAAATCTGTTAAACTATTTCGATTACTGAATAGCTTAAGTCTAAAAACGGAACTCAATGAAAAACATGACTTTGCATTTGATAGAGTAACGATGTACACACGGTAGCTAGACAACTTGACGTTTTACACAATGTGCATTTATACAACAGTTCTAGCATCAATGATTTACACACTTACAACTTCTGTCAGCCTGACGAAAACCTCGTACATAAGTGGGCACGCGCTAGTACTCAGGAGTGGCAGTGTTTGCAGCTTCTCAATAAATGGTAGTTGGTTGCTCGTGTCTTGTCCTGGGCTCCTCTCCTGTCGTGGGTCTCCTGTCCTGTCCTGGGCTCCTCTCCTGTCGTGGGTCTCCTGTCCTGTCCTGGGCTCCTCTCCTGTCGTGAGTCTCCTCTCCTGTCCCGGGTCTCCTGTCCTGTAACCACATCAAAGACAACAATCTAACACGCCCTCTAGAGGCTTTATAATACATAATTTTAATGTACCATATTTACTCGTGTATAAGACGCATTCGTGTATAAGTCGCACCCCCATATTTTGCCTTGAAAAGTTGGAAGTGAATGAATCCACAAAATTTAGGAAAATGTAGAAAAACCCGTGATGTAGATGAAAGTCAATGCCAAAGTTCTTTCCTAGGATCAAGAAAGGAATTACTCACTGTAGGGTAGAGCTAGTATGGAAAATTAGCATGCAAGATGTTTGAATTACCAAAAAATTAGCATGCTCCAATCCCAGCTTCATGACCTAGCACCTTGGCACCAATTATTCCTCTTCTCTCTCTGATATGCCTGCAATGACAATGCATGAAACACATACAGAATGAACGGATAACAAATAATCTAGCTTGCACCGGTATTTATACCATAGATAACCCACCAGCTATAATAATTATTACGTTTTAATCTTGATTTAAAATTATAAATCAGTCTACATATTTCTACAATTCAATAGTCATTTCTAAATTAAATCGGTCTTAAACATTGTCAATTGGTTCCAATTTATGTTTTTCATAGGAACAGCTGTGTCCCTACGTCACTGACAAGATGACATGTGGACAGCTATATGTTGCAATCATTATACTCGTACTCACCTTGCTCAATACCTGGCCACCCAACACACAAGTCTTCATAACCAATGGTGATATGTGAAGTATCAGACAATGAGCAGACTGGGAAAGGAGAAAACACTGATGTTGAGTGGCAAAGTTAGGTACCCTTTAGCCACACCAGATCCTTGACACATCCAATAGGATGAAAGAAGGATAACAGCCGTTGCCATCTTCATAAATCCGACGTGGAACCAAGATGTGCAGTCGTCGCACGCCATGGTTTAATGTAAAGTCTTGCCCACCTCCTTTTTCTTCGTCTTCGTCATCGTCGTCGTCGTCTTCTTTTTCTTCTTCTTCGCCTTCTTTTTCTTTCTCCTCCTTCTTCCTCGAGATGATTTTAAACACCTGCAAAAGTTGGTATGGACGTTATACCCTATGGTGTGATAGATTAATGTTAAGTATCTGACTAAAAGCTAGTAGCTATAGCTTGTTGCTTGACCACCAATGGTTTGAGAGGAATCGATTAAAAACACACCGGATGTGTAGCACTGCAGCACTCCATTACCATCAACAAATTCCACATTGGACAGAGCGAGGTTTCTGCTCCACAATGTACCAGACATGTTAAGTCTCACGCATTGAGCGTGAGACTCACGCATTTTGGTCAATTCTCACGCTCTCACGCTCATCTCTGAATTTCTCACGCAAAAATCAAAATCAATAAATAAATAATTAAAACCCCCTATTTTCAGTCCCAAATATGCAAAGCCTATCCCAGCCTGTACATGCCAATACATGTACCAGCTGTACAATGTGCCAGTACACACAGTACAGGCGGGCGCGGTAGGGGGGCTCAGAGTCAGGTGGTTCGACTGTAATCATCTGTAATTCACTTCCGCGCGCATATCAACCAATGGGATTTGGGAGGTATGCAGGCCCTAGATACAATGTCAATAATGTAACCCAAACACAGGATAGGGTTACAATGCGAGCCTATGATTTTCTGTGGAGGAACCCCTGAGTGAATCACTCAGGGCGGTTTGCTGGTGCGTTTTCAGAGACTAGAACTTCCAAACTGGGTTTATTCTCAACACGAACCTTTCTCCGCTATCCTGGAACTTACTATGTATCACAATACTCTGTATTAAACTAATAATTATATAACCTGTTACAAAAATTCGAAGCGACGAGCAGCGATTCTTCCAGCGCCATTTCTGTTGACCTGTGACGTACGCATTCCCAATGCGCATAGCGTTCGGCTAACTTCGTCATGACGTCATGACTGACAGCAGGCATCCCATGATACATTCGATCTTGGAGTCGAAGTTAGCCGAACGCAATGCGCATTGGGAATGCGTACATCACAGGTCAACAGCAAACTCCATGCAGCGCCCCCCTTCACACACTCAGGTTACCACTGCCACAAGGCTAGCACTATTTTTCAAGTGGGCGGAGCTTGCGGCAGTCTAGGATGGCCCGGCATTTGGCTCCGATGTATCGTGGCTGGCGAATGCTGTTCTCGATATATGTGGCAAGCGAATAATTGGAAATGAGTTTGACAATAGAATAGTTTTGAAATTGTTGTTTGCTGTTTTACCGGATTTATTCTCTCAATTCTGCCAATAACGAGTTCATGCATTACACTAATGCTATTGGATATAAAGCATGTTACTCAAATATGATCTCAGCTTGTTTCCTGGTCGCAGTCAAATCAGTCTAAAGCTTTAGGTTTACATTATTCTGTAATATATTATGTATGATAATGCATTTGTGTTTACGCATTTATTCTTAATTTGTGCGTAGTTTACATAAAATCTGATCTTAACTTGTTTACCTGGTATAAGTCTATTGCTGTCCTTCGATGTTGAGCTTCTCATTTACATTTTGTGATATAAAAACGGTAAAAGTTTTACGCACAAAAAATGTTGTTGTTTTTTTACTTGATAAGGCACTAAGCAGTGCTCGTTAGTTTGGATTAATTTGTCCAATTAGTGTAGTAAACTTCTCCAAGTAGGTTTGCTTGAACAGCTGCAAAACATGCATATCACCGTAAGTTCATCGTATACATATATTTCAAATTTGGCATTTTGTGCCTAAAAATCGCTCATTACCATTAGCCTTATACCATTATGCAATTCAGTCCTAGATGATAACGTAGCCCCTAGCAGTTGCACTGTGTGTGAACAGGCGCTATGACTCGATTGAGTCGATTCTAATACGTTTCTGTAGTCTGACTAATTTTCCATGGGCGAATCCATCATTTAATATTGTGGTTACTTTACTCCAGGATGTTTACTTAATACAGTAACGCTATTCCATTCCGATTTTTGAGGCTCAGCACTAATACATTAACACAATTATGATCGGAAGAGATTGGGTATATCCTTTTACGCCAAGAAATTTTTAACAAGCAAATAGTGGCCTTTGCTATCCCAATCCGCCCACCCCGCTTATTAGTCCGACTGGATAAAGTAGCATAGTAGGCGAACTTTTTTCAATGAGATTAGTTTTAATATGGTTTTCTGAGGCTTATCATCATGCAGCTACACAGAGGAATTGCACCGAACCATGTGACTGAAGATAAAAATAGACTGCTGACGTTTCTCGAGAGTGGTGCAGTATCAGTAAAACTCGCATAAGTTTTAAACGTTTCAGACCAGCATGTTTAGCGACTTTACGAAAATGACGACATACCGCTAAAGTATCATTTTCAATCGACTTATATGCTAGGGGCCTCATCGCTCCACACACGACGTCCTCGTTCGCCCGACACACACAAGCAAACATGAAACAATGCGGGTCTCGCGATACATCAATTGACACTGCTGCCTGGCCACGTACGAGCTTACGGGCCTAGCCGGGGCAAGCGCGGCACACGCGGCTATCTGCTAAGCACCCTCTGTTGATTACATGTAACTTGGCACATTGCAGCGACATTTGCGGGCAACGGTGCTGCCAAATTTTCTTGGAACACATGCTGTAAAAAATACGGTAATTCACGCAAGGCCACTGGGGGCTCCTTAGAACGAACTAGTTAGTGTAGGGCAGAATTTCCAATGAGTCACGTATACTTATATGATACATCTAGATTTACTACATTACACAACAGACTCCTGGCATATGTCAAATCCTGGAGATTCGACAGTAAAAATCACAGTGTTGTAGTCGAGTCCATCACCCCCGCGAGTCCCGAGGTCCGAGTCCAGCATCGCCCGAGTCCGCCGCACCCGAGGTTCCGAGTCCAACCACTCGAAGTCGAGTCCGCAGTCAGTTCTTGATAAAAAAAAAGGGCCGGGCACAGACCGACGAGCGCCACTCACTTCTAATGTATGTGTTGTTCAAAAATGGGTGGGGGGGGTGTTTCCTGTCACTTGCTTTAGCATAAAATAGGAAAGTACCGATAAAACTTGCATAACGTCGACACTTTGGACCAGCAATATGGGCTGGGCAGCGCGCAGATACGACGATTAATTAACCGCCGCGGCCTGTGTACATTATTATGCCGCCGTGGGTTGAATACGAATGATGCGCGTGAACTCGGCACCCACCGCCGATTTAAAGCCGCCCGGCGACAAACAGCATCTAGACTTGCTATCGTATGTAGTGGCCTGCCGAGCACGTCTCGACCCGACGTCCTCGCAGTTCGACGTCCGAGTCATTGCACTCGAGGGCCGACGACGGCGAGACCGAGACCAAGGAAAACGGTCTCGAGGCCAAGACCGGTCTCGAGACCTACAACACTGGTAAATCAGGTGGTATCTTACTCTGGACTCACGTTAATTTCGCACCACTCACGCGAATTGTTCATTACGTACGCCATCAGCATTTCTGATGACGAACTTAAGATTGGGAAAATACTGTTTTGTATTACATGGGACGCTGTCTGAAGCACGCGATTTCCACATAATTGACGGCTTATAAATGATTGATCTTATGGCGGTGGGCTTATTCTGTATGTAGGCATTAGAGCTATCCAATGGCATTATCTAAATAGAGAAAATCGAGACTTTGACATCCATGATGACTTATGCGAATTGACGAGTGAGACGATGACGATCGACTTATGCGAGTTTTACTGTATTAGATATCTCACTGACTGTACTTACCTGATAAGTTTATTTTCAAAAGTTTACAACGTTTACACTCTTTATAGAGGACTCTCCGAATATTTGCTAACTTTCGCAAAGAGTTCCTTGTTTGAACAGTATGCCGCGTTCGGATTGTATTCATGAGCAATTCCTCCATTTACGTTTTAGCCGACTGAATTGCGCTCCAACAATCTGATTAAGCCTCCAAAACGATCAGCTGATATGACGTTTGGCACAGTAACTGAGGAAGCGCGCATATGCTAATGGAAATACTTACTAGCTACTAGCTCTAGTACTATAGGCCCGACGATAGCTGCGGCATATAGGGCCGATAGCACGCACTATCCACGGGCTATATCAGGGGACTAGAGCCTAGTAACTACTAAGACTAGTACTAGTATTACTACACTAGTACATAGCCTCAAGAAACGTCTTTGCATAGGCGTTAGAAGACGCTGTGTTGGTCGGCGTTATTACAAATAGTAAACTACTACTACTAGATTAGATAAGCCCCGCCATGAAAACACAACTAGCGTTCACAGAATTGAAATTTCCTACCTATTATAAGGTATTATAAAGGCAAGACAGGACACTTTTTGGAGCATTAATCACCCATTTTTGTAGTTCAGACTCAATAGCTCATAGCGGTTCAAGGAATAAGAAAACATGGGCGCCCATTGAACCTGTGTCATTATTCGTAAACGTGGGGGTAGCACCTAATAAAATCGACAGGGTACCTGGTGTATGGTGTTCTTTGTTCATTATCAAACCGATAAACAATGATGTAGTTAACAGGAAGTGTACGAAAAAACGCTCGATAGCGCTTCTAAGGTTCGTAGCAATATCTTGACGCAATTTATCAAACTGAAAGTATGCCATTCAAGTATAAATTACCCGGTAACTTCGCGGTATAAAAACGACATCATATTTGTTTACCTCAGCATTTATTCCCCTGTTCTCTGTCCTTTAAAACAAGCCAAGATCATTCTTCTGTGTGCTTGCATATAGCAGACGAGTAAAATCTAAGTTGATTAAGTTCACAAAAACTAGTCCAATTTCAGATAGTTTCGCCATGCGCGGCGAATGTAAACATGTTGGGCACTGGCACATTGTGTTCCGCGGCGCTTTGCGATGAGGGATAGATCGACTAAGCTAATAGAAAAAATGAACCGTTCTACGAGTCTCCGTAAGGCATAGCCACGGCGTAAACTGAATAATAAGTTAATATAAGCCTGTTACAAAAATTCGAAGTGACGAGCGGCGATTCTTTCTTCTGTGACCCAAACTCCAGCGACAGATGGCGCTCTCGCTCAATAG